ACACACACTCAGATTAATACAGCACACACACTCTCAGACTGATCAGCACACACACACTGAGACTGACCAGTACACACACACACTCAGATTAATACAGCACACACACTCAGACTGATACAGCACACACACTCAGACTGATACAGCACACACACTATTAGACTGATCAGCACACACACTTTCAAGCTGATACAGCACACACACACACTCAAGATTAATACAGCACACACACTCTCAGACTGATAAGCACACACACACTCAGATTAATACAGCACACACACTCTCAGACTGATCAGCACACAGACTCTCAGACTCACCGTAACTCCAGACGTCGCTCTGGTGAGTGTACCTACGAAACAGGATGCTCTCCAGCGCCATCCACTTGATGGGAGTCTGAGAGAGAGGAGACACATTAATCCGTCACGACAGGTTTGTAAAACAGGTTTGTAAGAGGGTTACAGACAAGAGAACAGGGCTGCAGTAACGGGGCAGCCGCAGGGAAATCTTACTGTCACTCATGCAGGGACAGAGGCGGTACAACTGCGTGCAGGTCCCCAGTGTGGGGCCTGTCCTGAGGCACAGGAGACTCAGAAACCCCACATGACAAAATACAGTAAGAAGGGTTTCAAACAAGAGGAAAACGGGCCCATCCACCTTGTTTGGTCATTAGTTAATAACTGATCTGATAACCTCATCCAGCAGGTTTTGAAAGAAGCCAAGCTACCAGCTCCAGTAACGCAGCCGGGCAGTGTGTTCCACACACCCACAAGGCTTTGTGTGACGCGCTGTGTGACAGTGTGGAGTGGGAGGCCCCGCGGCGAGCACCGCCCCCCCGGGTGTGTCAGGAAAGCGTTCTTTCCGGACCCTATGCAGACGACACAATCCGGGGTTGAGTGAGGAAACACTGGGAAGAAGTCATGCAGGATACGGGGATAAAAACAGGGGGGGCGTGTCCAAGGAGTGCTGGTGGTCGGGAAGGTGTAGGGAGGCGAACAACCCGGGGACGAGTCCAAAGAGAAGTCCACAAACAAGGCAAAAGTCTATGGCCAGGAGATCCAGCCAAGACAGGAGATTAAAAACCAGAACCGGGGGAACGGGAACAGGAACAGAAACTTAAAAGCATAACGGAGCCAGACGCATCAGGTCCCGGGAAACCCACGCAGGGCCCAGATTGGCGTCTGCGTCTGGCTTTTAAGGGGGAGCTGAAAGGAGGCTGGAACAGGGAGCAGGTACGGGGAATGAGGCAAACCAGGAAGGGCTGGAGCGCCCTGAAGAGGAGGGGTTTGCGATCGTGACAGGGTGAGGTTAGCAGGGACCGAAAATAACACAAAGTGGGAAAATAAACAACAGGCAAGAAGAAAGCGTACTGCTGTGCCTTGTTACCTCCAGGCTGGGCTTATTCTATTTAACGCGGTCCAGTCTGGTGAGCGGGGCGCGTAAGGGAAGAACAAAACAAGAACTGAGGGCGTCAAAAAGTGCGTGATGGGGCAGGCACAAAAGAAAAAGAACACCTTACGTGGGTGCAATCCCCCCTGGGTGGCCCTGCTCGTCCCCTCGAGGGGTGTCCAGTGTGCCAGTGTGCAGTGTGCCAGTGCAGTGCAGTGTGCCAGTGGGATGTCCACCACTGCCCAGCTGCGGGGGTGTCTCTGCTTGTCCCCTCGTGGGGTGCCCAGTGTGCCCTTATAGGACCCGCCCGGCTGCGGCTCGTCATCTAGAAGCCAGGACAGCTGGGACTACAAAGGCGAGGCGTCATGCCACAGCTGCTACAGAGTGGGCAGCAAGTCGGGGGGCAGGGTCGAGGGCATCGGGCCAGGGCACAGGCTCCACACCCTCGTGCTGAGTGCCAACGGCGGCGCCTGCTGTCTGTGTGTCTGCAGGCGGCGCCAGTACCTTGACCTCGTTGTAGAAGTACTTCTTGTCGTCGGGGTACAGCAGGTCAGGGATGCCGAAGTCAGCGATCTGGACGATGTAGTCGCTCTTCAGGAGGACGTTCCGTGCGGCCAGGTTCCTGTGGACCATGCGGTGCTCCTCCAGGTAATACATCCCCTGCAGTAGCGGGGCAAGAGTGGTGTCGTTTTACTGCGACTCATGCAGGAATACAGCCCGTACAACACTGCAGCAGGGCCATCATAACAATGTCAACAGGGGCTTGGTCTGCAACAGAACCTTAGCCGGCGGCTATATCACCCTGCAGCTCAGAGGTGGCAGCTGATTGTAGCTCAGCAGCTGGGACCCTGGCCAGTACCTGGCTGGGAGACCTCCTGTCATGCCCTGTACACTTAGAGGGCTTGGCCATGTGTCCTGTTCCTAGTTACCTGTGATTATTCATGTCTTTCTGGTGCGTCTGGTCGTGTAGCCTATTTTCTTCCTGTCTGCTGCTCCTCGCTCAGCATTGTGGGTACAATGTCCTGAGACCCGCCTAGCACCAGGTTGCTCCTGTCCGTAGCCTGAGGTCATAGGTTTCTTTCCGGCATCGTCTGACCCCCTGAGCCTGGGCTAACCCCCGTGTTGCCCCTTTTACCGCTACGCGTAGGGTCTCTACTGCTCTCCTTGTCATTCCACGGCTTGCCTTTTCGACATCCATGACACCTCCTGGGAAATCTAAGGTTACTGCTGGAAGAGGTGTTAGTGGGACTTGTAGGAGGTGCTCACACTGCGGCCTGTGTGGGCCCTAACCCTGATGGGGACCCTACACTGTACAAAAGGCACCGTTCTTCCTATGAGAGGTAAAACCGAGGTCCTGACCCTCAGTGGTCACTAAAAATCCCAGGGTGTTTTTTTTAAAAGAGCAGGAGTATTACCCTGGTGTCTTAGCGAAATTGCCCCCTGGCCTTTACCAGTCATGGCCTTCTAATAATTCCCATCTATGTACTGAGTTCATAACTCTGTTCTCCTCTCCACTGATAACTCAGGTGTGGTGAACATACTAGTGCACTCTGGCTGCTGTTGCACATTGGTGGTGGTAGTGGGATTCCCCATTACCTGTAAAGAGCTTTCACTGTAGCGTCCAGAAAAGCACTATATCAGGATATATTTATTGATGGAAAGCCTCAATATTTACAATGTAATATTTAAACCTGCTCCATAACACACACATTCACATTCATCCCATCACCTCTGGGTCTGTGGCTCACCTTGGCGATCTGGACACACCAGTTCAGAAGCCGCTGGGGGTCCAGGCTGTGCTTGTGGCGCCTGATGTGCTCCAGTAAGGACCCCTGCACGCTGAGCTGGGTCACGAGCTGCAGACTGGCACCCGGGCAGATACCTAACAGCCGGACAATGTAAGGGTGGTCTAGACTGCCCATAGCCAGCATGTGCTGCAGGGAGACACACAAGGAGAGAGAATTAGGGCACAGAGGGAGGGGATTTCACTTGCACAAACCAGATGTGATGTGCGGAAAAGACTCAAGACTATATATAGCCACCAGGGGGCAATGCAGCCCCCTGGTGATTTGAGCCTTGTGTCTTCTTGCACTGTTATTAAAAGCTTGTGCGAGACGTGTTAACAGACGCATGGACCAGTTTGTTAGTCTCTGTCTGTGAGACACTCACATCCGTAACCTCAGTGAAGGTCTGTCTCCCAGTCCGGTCTTGGATGGTCTTTATGGCCACTGGGATCTTCACCGTGTCTCCCTCTGGGACCCACACGCCCTGGGCGAGAGAGAGAGTGAGAGCTGCACAGAGACACAGAGGGAAGGGGGGAGGCGAGAGGGAGAGGGGGTACCTTGTGCACAGTGCCGAAGACGCCCGAGCCGATCAGCTTCAGTTTGCGCAGCTCCTGGAGCTTTAGGACTCGGGTGTGGACCTTCGCCCCCTTCTCACCTGGGTCCAGGGGCTCAAAGCTCTGCACAGAGGGAGGCACGTGTTCAGACAGGCGGGGAACCCTGCATCTGCCCCCCATCTACCTCTCTTTTTTCCTTATTGCCATCAGTACGTAACTCCCTGGCCCGTCTGAGTCCCTCTCTCCCTGTCTGCTCCTCTCACTTCAATTCAAGCAGCCCTTGTTGGCATGACCGATCAATTGGAGTGTTGCCAAAGCAGATACAGCTAATACAACCTCTCTCCTGCTCTGCTCCTCTCGGTCTCTCCTCCCTCCCGCCGGTCTCTGTCTGCCCCTGTACCTCCTCTCTCTGTCATCTCCCTTTCTTCCTCCCCTGTCTCTCTGCTCCTCTCCCTATCCGCCCCTCTCCCTCCTCTCTCCTTTCTCGCTCTCCCTTCTGCCACTGTCTGCCCCTGTACCTCCTCTCTCTCTCCTTCCCCTCTCTCCATCCTCTGTCTCTCTGCTCCTCTCCCTCTCTGCCCCTCTTCCTCGCTCTCCTTCCTCGTTCTCCATTCTGTCTCTGTCTGCCCCTGTACCTCCTCTCTCTCTTTTTCCCCTCTCTCCCTCCCCTCTTCCTCCTCTCCCTCTCTGCTCCTCTCCCTCTCTGCCCCTCTTCCTCGCTCTCCCTTCTGTCTCTGTCTGTACCCTGTACCTCCTCTCTCTCTCCCTCTCAATTCAATTCAAGGTGCTTTACTGGCATGACCAATGAATAAATCAGTGTTGCCAAAGCAAAACAAAAAGACATTTAAAATACAGACACATCATAAGACATTTACATATACATATGCAGCATTATAGGTAGACAGGCTCACTCTTCCTCAGGCTGTGACAGGAGATCAGGTAGTGGGCTGCCTCTCCCAGTGGGATTGGGACCTGTTGTGATTCTGGCAGGTGTGGGAATTCTGGGATTAGATCGGTCTCTCCCTCCTCTCTCACCTCTCCGCTCTGCAGGTATCTCCTCATGGCTCTCTTGCGGCGGATGGCCAGGCCGCGCCGGTAGAGCACCGTCAGCACAAACGTGGCGAAGGACACCAGCAGGAGGGCGACTGCTCCCAGTACGATCCCCGTCATCTGAAGACTGATCGCCGACAATTACAGGCAGGGGAGAAGAAAACAAAGACGACAGCTGAGCAAAACAGGAAGTTCAGTTGTGGAACATCAGAATTCTGAGTTATACCTCCTGGAATACCAAGAATGCTGTCTGCACCACATGAAAAGACACTGGCAACAGAGGGACTGTATGCTACTGGTAGTAACAGGTGCACCTTTGAAAAGAAGAGGATCTTAACCAGGATTGACTGAGCTGCACTGACAAGACATGGCCACCAGGGGGCCTTCACTCAATTCAATTCAAGCTGCTTTACTGGCATGACCAATGAGTAAAATCAGTGCTGCCAAAGCAAAACAAATACAATTAACTTAAAACTATAATCTATAGCCATTTACAATAAAGACACAATCATAAGATATTTACATATAGACACTCACCTTGATATATTCGTCCCTGCACAGCCACTCAGACCTGGGCCAGTACAACTGCAACACAATGCACAGTTACACGCTGTATACCACTGTGACAGTGGTCTCACACACGTAAACACAATGTCACATGTTGCTACACACTGACACACACACATGAGGCCTCACCTCTCCGTGCAGTTGGGGTGGCAGGGCTCACAGCGCCTCTCGGCGTTGGCGTACTTGAAAATCAGCCCCTTCTCCCCCATCACCCCGTTTGGGCACGAGGGCACACAGTGGGGCCCGTCCCAGAAGTTGGCACATGCCACGCACTCGTCTGCGCCCTGGGGGAGACAGAGGGCGGCTTGTCAGACACAGTGGTTTCCTCCTGGACAGCTGGACAGACAGGGGCGTGACGGGGTCTCTTACCGGCCCCTGGCAACTTGGCTGCCCCTCCTGGCGCTGGCACTCGGGGTGACACGCAGTGCACTCCCCCAGCGCTGAGGCAAACTCCCGCGGCTCCCTGACAGACAGCCGGAGAGACGGAGTACAGGTCAGAGGAACAGAGAGTGACAGAGAAGAGGCAAAAAGACTGACACACTCAGACACAGACTGACACACACAGACTGACACACTCAGACACAGACTGACACACACAGACTGACACACACACTCAGACACAGACTGACCCACACTCAGACACAGACTGTCACACACAGACACAGACTGACACACTCAGACACAGACTGACACACTCAGACTGACACACACAGACACAGACTGTCACACACAGACACAGACTGTCACACACAGACACAGACTGTCACACACAGACAGACTGACACACTCAGACTGACACACACAGACACAGACTGACACACAGACTGACCCACACTCAGACACAGACTGACACACACACACATAGACTGACCCTGTGAGGAAGTTGCAG